AAAAAAAAAAAAAAACAACCCACAGAGAATCCAGGGCAATATGATACTAATGACAGGTGATTGTCAATATTATTATTATTTTTTTCTATTTCTCATCTGACCTGCCTATATCCTCGTGGAATCCGGACGCGTGAACTGGGCCATTTGATGCGATCCCTTCCTGCTACGTGACACACGGGTGTCCCCACAGAGATCAAGGGGCTCCTCCCGAGAAGGGGCAGTGAAGAGAGCTGAGATTTTAAGTCCAGATGCCTGGATTTAATTCCAGCTCCCTCTGTGTTTGGACACGATGCTTCTGTCCTCATCCGCGAGCCGCGGAATCTCAGACACGAAGGCCTGCTGGAAGCTTCTGTGTCATTTCTTCAAACTCCAGTTGGTGGAGGGATGGAGGGAAGTTGGGGGAAATCCAGGCTGCCTCAGGCATTCTGGCTCCTTCCATCTCATGGCCTGCCATCCCCGGGAGCCCCAGTTTCCACTGGGTCCCCGCATCCAGCCAGCAGAGAGGGAAGAAGAGAGAGTGGCGGGGGGAGGGGGGGACACGTAGGAGGTGTTTATGGGCCAGCCCTGGAAATGGCTGCCACCTGCACTTCCTTGGCCAGAACTCGGTCACATGGCCCCACATGTAGCTGCCGGAGAGGCCGGAGAAGTGGGGTCCCCTCATCTCCCTGGTGGGGAAAGGAAATGGGGTCGGGTGGACAGCCAGCCGGTCTCTGTCACTTCCTCGCCTCGCCGCCAGCTGTGAGGCTCTGGGCCGTCAACCTCTGTAGCGAATGGCGCTGTAAAGCCCAACACGACTCTGTCTGTTTCCCCGCTCCTCTCCCCTGCACCCGTCCCCGCCCTTTGATTGATTGGCCCAATTTCTCCTGACAGGGACCAACTGGATGATTGAGATCCTCAGCTTAATCCTAAAGGACGGGGACCCATCCTGGGTCCTCTCGGTGCCCATCTGGAAGCGGGCGCCCTGGTGTGAGACCATCCTGGGTGCCTTCAGCCTCTCGGACCAGCCCAGACCCCGCCTCATGAGTTCTCACCTCCCCATCCAGCTCTTTGCCAAAGCCTTCTTCACCTCCAAGGCCAAGGTGCAGGAGGAGGGAGGCGTGTGGGGGTGGGGGAGCCCATAACCAAGGGGTGAATTCAGCACGGTATTTACGGAGCACCTACTATGTGCCTGATCTGGAACGGCAGTAAATAAACGCGCAGCAATGCCTGCCTCGCAAGCCCACGTTCTAAAGGGTGACAGGCCGAGAGAATAGAGAAGAAAAATCTCCTCGTGGGCAAAGGTGATGACTTCACGAACAGCCCGCAGGGGTGGGCGAGGAGGGCAGAGGGCGCAGGTGGGAGGCAACGGTGGGCCCCACGGAGTGGGAAGGGGTGGCCCGCGCGGAGGTGAAGAGAAGAGGCCGAGCTGGGGTTGTATGTTGAAGGTGGGACCAGCAGTAGGATTTGTTGGCAGATGGGGCGTGGGTGTGAACCAGATGAGTCAAGGGTGACTCTAGGGCGTTTGGTTTAAGCAACTGGGAAGATGATGCTGATGTCAACTGACTTGGGGAGGCCGGGAGAGAGGCTCGGGGGAAGGCGGGAGCTCTGTCGGGGCCCGTGGACGTCCAGGTGGAGGGTTGCCAGTGGGCAGTGAGGCAACCGAATCAGGATTCGATAGGACACGCGTCTCTGGAATTGGCTGGTCGACACAAAGGTGGACGGGGCCATTAAAGGCGGGAGACTGGTCGCATCACCAAGGAAGCGAGTGTAGACAGAGGAGGCCCCCCG